ACTTAAATATATTTTCATCCACAATGATTCCAACAGATAATGATATAATGACCGAAATTACAAAAGATACTAATTCTAATCCATGTTATTTGCACGAAAAACTAAAAGTTACTTTAAAACCTTTGTGTGCAAAAGAAAAAGCTGAGTTTATGTATAATTTTTGTAAAAATACTCATAATAAATATTTTAACCCACAATTTATTAAAATAAATAATGATAATCAAATAAATACTGCAAAAACAACTATATGGTAAGTAAATTGTATTATTTTAAAAACTTACAATATATAATAATACAATTTATTTACAGATGCTGAAATTCTTACAAAAATGGTTCATCTAGAAAATAAATATATTATTTCTTATAATTAAATATTAAATACATTTAAAATTTAAAAATTTTTATTTTAAAATAAAATTATTAAAACAAATAATTTGTGTAAATTATTAAATTATATATAAAAATAATTATAAAATTAAACCCTCCACCAAATAAGTATATAATAATAGAAATTATATAGCATTAGTTGAGCCAAATCCACCATTTCCTCGTTCAGTCTGTGGAATATAACCAATATATGGAGTAACCTTTTTGTATGGTAACACTATGAGTTGGGCAATACGATCTCCAGGTGCAATGTTGAAAGCCAATTTACTGTTGTTAATAACCAACACTTTTACAATTCCAGTATAATCAAAATCTACAATTCCGGCTCCAATATCTATCCCTTTAACTGCTAATGAACTTCTTGGAGCAATAAAGCCAAATGAATTATTTGGCATGTAAATGCTTAATCCAGTTGAAACAAGTTTGCGTTGAGATGGCAATATCATTTTATCCTCATTTGAGTATAAATCTAATCCAGCGCTTTTTGATGTACCTCTGGTAGGAAGACACGATCCAAAATCCATATTTATTTTTAATTGTTCATCTAAAAAAATAATTAATCTTATAATTAGATTATTACATATTTAGTATTAGTTAAACATACCTTTTGAAATAATATCATAACTTAAATTAAGTTTATAATCTGTGATACGACGTTCATCCAAATAATTAAGACAATCAATATAACATTTTCCAAGAGACTCGTTTGGTTTAATGTACAATGTGTTAGTTTTAGATATATTCCACAAAACAATTTGCATAATGTCTGAATTTTTGTTTTCAACATAAAACAACTTGCAGACAATATCTTTAACATCTAAATCTTCATTTTTAATAAATGTTCCCATATAATTAGCTGGTATTTCGTTTAAGTTATTTACATATAAAACAACTTTAGTCATTGGTTTCACTGCATGAAAATTTAGTGGTGTTATTGATACAAGTGGATTAATTTTGTCTCCGTTAATGATTAATTCCTTATATACATTATTCATATTGTCTGTAACTAAAAAAATATTAATGTTTTAATGAATTATGTCCAAATGGAAGACATGAAACTCCATCTGATAATATATAGTTCTTATCGTCCATAGGATGAAACACAAACTTATTAATAGATAATGTTTTAAGCATATGTTGTTTTGATTGAATTGTTGTCATAGATGTATTATAATATTTTTCATTTAACAGAACATTTTTATAAATATCATGTGTTAAATTATTTTTAATTACATTTTTTGACTAAAAATTTTGAATGTTTTGTATTTTTATACATTGTTATACATTGTATTACATTGTATTGTATACATAAGCATTGTTTGAAGGCTAACAACTTTTACTGTTATACATTATTATAATATAGTATAGTGTTTAATGCAATGTAATGTAATTATTATTAATATAATAATTGTATAAATTTTTCGTAGAGCTTATACCATTCAATTGTTTAATTTTTTCGTAGAGCTAAGTAGACATAAATGTCTATTTTCGTAGAGCTTGTAAAAGTATACAACATATTATTATTATTAAATAGTTGTCTTAACCTTTTTTTTCCTAAAGTTGACTATTACTGTGTATATACTATCTATATATAGTAAGCACAGGTACTTCAAGTTGATGATGAAAAACAATTACCAAAAAAAATAATAAAATAAAGAGTCAATCATAGGGTTAGACAGTTAGAGACAGATAGTAGTAGTAGTAGTAGTAGTAATACTGTAGTAGTAGTTGTTTTATATTATGTATATATTGTATATACAGTATATATTTTTATTATAATTGAATACATAAGCGATTGGCATAATAGTGAGGCATTTTGCGACACATAGTAATAATAATATACTAGTAGTACCTCTCATCTGAGCTGAGCTGAGAGAGAGAGAGAGAGAGAGAGACATAAATCCCGGAAGAGTTAAGTCTAACTGACCTTAACTTGTATTCACCGATTAATTCAATATTCATATATAAATATTATATACAGTATGTAATGAGTATATATATATATATAGTATATACGGTATATATATATATTATATATACAGTATATTATGCCAATATTTTATGTTAAAATATTTTAAACTGTATGATATATGTACTGTAAGTTACTGTATAATAGCGTATAAATAATAATAATTTTAATGAATATATGATAATAATAATAATAAATATGAATGAAATACTGGTGTAGTGTCTGATAATAATATTTTTTTTTTAATAAATAAATCTTGTTGTAAATGCATTTAAAATACAATATATATTTTATTCATAAATATTATATACAGTATATATAAACAACACATTTGTATAATATATATATATATATAATCCGATATTTATTAATAGACAATATTTTTTCAAATTTATAAATATATTTAAATTTATTTTTATCTCATTTATGAATTTAAATGAATGAATGAATGAATGTTTTTTATTATTATTAATGAATTTGAATAGAAATATATTTTAAAAACCTATTGTCTTATTATTGTTAATATTTATTATCAAAAAAAATAGTTAAAAATAAATGTTTTGTTTTTTATATATTTATTATTAGAATATTATTTTTTTTCTAATAAACTACTGTATTATATATATATATATATTTATAGACACTCTGCTAATAAATACCATTATACTAATAATAATGATAATAATAATAATAACAATTAGTCAAAAAAAAATAATAAATAATTTATTTATAAATATATAAATATTGATGACACAAACAACACACACACATAGATAAACATACAAATAGCTAAAAAAAATAATAATAATACTAATAATAAGTACTAACGGCATAACTAATATACTGTATATATATTGTATAATAAATTTACAGTAATATATTTATTATTATTAGATAATAAATGGGTAAAAAAAACTACAACAAAAAATTGGTTTTTAAAAAAATTATATCATATATATATATATAATAAATAAATTAGTTGTTAAATAATAATAAATTTATTTCTACAGTATATATATATATATAGTATATTTATATATATATATATATATATATATTGATATATTCACACACAAGTCTCAAGTGAACGGCTTGTTGGCGACAATTAAAAAATAAATAATAATAATAAAAATAATAAATAAGGTGCCCTGGGTTAAACTAATATATATGTAATATTTATTTAATTAATAAATAGATAAGTTATATATACAGTATATATATTGGTTATATAATAAAAATTTATTAGTGAGACATAATCTCTCTCTCTCTCTCTCTCTCTCTCTCTCACACACACACAGCTCAGGGGTAGCCAAGTGTGTGTCACTACTATACTCTCTGCTGTATTATGTTATATAACTTATGTGTATAGGAAATGAATAGCTAACGAAGCAATAACATCAAGTAATCATAATAATAATAGCAATGTAGTGCATAATATATATATATATAATATATGATATGATATATAACATGTATAACTTATACATGTTATATACAGTATATACATACATACATACTGTAGTTGTTGTAAAAATGTTATATACAGTGTAAAAGTTTAATAAACAACAACAACAACAACAACTAGGTATGAGTTGGTTGTCTTGTCTTAGGCATAGCCCTGGGAGTGATGTATACATATATATAAGTTATATATAAAGGTATAAAAATCTATATATATATATATATATAAATGAATTGATATGGAGTGGTATGTATAGTATGTATAGTTTTTTATTTTAATATTTGAGGGCCAATTGGCAATGTATTTGTATATGCAAGTGCTCTCTCTCTCTCTCTCTCTCTATCTCTCTCTCTCTCTCTCTCTTTCTCTCTCTCTCTCTCTCTCTCTCTCTCTCTCTGTCAATGGGGGCAACTAATGGAATGCCGATTATTAGCCACAATCCGGTCGTTAACATCCCCTTAAAAACCAGTCGTGTATTTTGGTTCACAAGACAACTACCTATACCTACCTATACTATACAACAACTATACAGTATAAGCGCAACTAAAAACCAGTTTTCACTTCTTTAAACACATACACACACACACACATACAGAGTGTGTGTATACCTATACGGACTATACGGCTATACCTACCTATACTACCCTAATGTTTTTGCCAGTCCTTTACACATTACATATACATACAACTAATGGTATACTAACTCTTGATGGCTGTTCTCTGATCTCTCTCTTCTATTAGGGCTGTATCTCCTGTCTCTCTCTCTCTCTCTTGCTCTCTCTCTCTCTCTCTCTCTCTCTCTCTCTCTATCTTTCCCTCCCTCTCTCTCTTTCTCACTCTATCTCTCTCTCTCTCTCTCTCTCTCATAGTTATTAAGAGCCGCGACTAACTCAACGCAATTGTGAGCCAACTCAACACTTAATGATATTATTTTGTGGCATCACTTTTATATACATACTTGTAGTTACCATTGAATTATATATATATAAATCTGTGTATATATGTGTGTTTGTGTCCACTAATTTAGTTTTTTTCGGTGATAATATATATATATACATCTATAATGTGATAACAAGTGTGGATTAACCCCAAGAAACACCATTAAAAAACTTATTATTTTGTTGGATATATATATATATACAGTATTATAAATATAAGGATAAAAAAGTTGTACTCTTGTTGTTGTTGTTGTAAGTGATGGGCAAAACCAGTGATGACTCGTCAGCGGCAACAACGCCAATATGTCGGTGTCGGGTCATGTATTTGGGTTCGGCAGTACCGCATATCACCAAAGATGGCCTACAGGGCATACAGGAGCCCCTGCGTGACCTCTACCCCGAGCACGGCTTGCTTGGTCAGGCTGGAGGAGGAGGTCCGGTAGCCGGCGGTATCGATTCGTGGCTAAGTGTCTGGAGTAATGGTATACTAGTGGAAAACGTGGATGACCAAGGTAACGAAATGAAACGATTTCATCCGATCGAGTCGCTACACTATTGCGCTGCCGTACGCTACGTATCAGTGCCCCGGGGCGGCCAACATACCAATCATATAGCCAACGGCAACAACGGCACTATCAATACTAACACCAACAACACGTTTGCTGCCATAAATGGCAACTCGGCATCGTCTACACTGTCGTCGACAATCATCAACGGCGGCGGCGGTATCGGTGCTAGCGGTGGCGGCGGTGGTGACAAAGTGGCCAAATTTTTACCTCTCGACAGTCCCTTTTCAAGGTATGCCAATACCAGTCATCCGCCGCTGTTTGCTTGCATTCTTCGCCGTACAACCGGAATCAAAGTACTCGAATGTCACGCCTTTATCTGCAAGAAGGAGCCGGCGGCCAATGCACTGGTCAGATGTTGTTTTCACGCCTACGCCGATACTATTCACGCCAAACAAATCGATACCGAATCGCCGTACGAACAGCTCGATCGGCGCCGATCCCGTTCAATATCGGCATTGGATACCGTCGAGAAAGTCGAGGAATGGCGTAACCGATCGACCAGTTCGTCGACAACACACGACGATATCGGTGCCGGTGATCTTATAGTGCATTCGTCCTCTTCTACCACTAACGGTCTACACCACCATCACATGAATGGACATACGCTGACCACAACCAACGGTCACGGATCGCGTCCGCGGACACCGTCGGCCACATCCATCATTAGTCACTCGCCGCCGCACGAAGAAGAGTCCAACTATAAGGTCTGGAACGGATCGGCTCATCTGGAAAGGGAAGTCGTCTATCATGACGGCAACGCCACACTGAGAAGCATGCGATCCAATAGCAATACAATGATGCCGATGGCGGTGCCGAAACCGCCCAAACCCAGACAAATTGCAATGCCATCCAATGGTCCGCCGCCACCACTGCCATCGTCACTGCCGCCGCCACCGCCTCTGCCGATGACTACCTTAATGAAGGGCACAAAGAAGTCGTCGAAGAAACAACAGGCAAAAGAAAGTACTTTGAAAAAGAAACACAAATACAAGGGATTTATGGGACCACAGTCCCAGCACATACCAGTGCCACATCATATGATAGCCGCCAACGGCTACCATACAGTGATGGGTCCGCCGCCACCCCATCATATGCTGTCCCAATCGTCACCTCATGCCATATACGCTGCCGCGTCGTCAACACTCTACTCGGATGGCCGACGCTACGCGACTGCCCGAAGGGGACCGCCTCCGCCAATGGGTGGACCACCGTTGCCGCCGCCACCGCCGCACCATCATATGACCGGTTTTATTCACGACGGCTACCAACAGCATCCGATACTGTTGACCGGCGGCGGACAACATCCTGACGAACCTATTTATATACAGTCGTCGACAATGCGTCCGATAACACCGATGACTGCCGCCAACTATGCTGCTGTCCAACACCACCATCATCAGCAGCAGCATCACCTCGACCAGCAGCAGCCGACATACATCATACACAATGGCCATCCCTATCCGTTGCCGCCGCCGCCATCCGAGCAGCACTACGGAACAGTTCAGCGGTCGTCAAAATACAGGGACATCAACAGTAGTCAACAACAAGATATGATGGACAGCAGCAGTAGGCCATCATCATCATCGAAAAAGAAGGATAAAAACAATAAGGGAGGTTCCGGTTCTTCGGAAATGGAGTCGTCGTCGTCGCCGTTCAATACCGGTATCTACAAGAAGAAGGGCCACCTAAACGAACGGGCCTTTTCCTATTCCATACGACAGGAACACCGATCCCGGTCTAACAGTCTGACTAATCTGCACTTTGACACCAACAACGCACAGCCAGACGAGTCTTCGGTGTTGTCGTCGGTGATGATGAATGGCCACCACAATCATCATCATCACAATGGCTTAGACAACGGCAGCAGCCTATCAGCTCAACAAATAAACGGCGGTTCGGCCATTCATCTAACCGAACGGGAACTATCAGATCGGTTGACTGCATTGAATATGAACAACGGCCAGGCAATGATGAACGGCGGCGGCGGTGGCGGTCATCATCATCATCACCACCACAACGGTGGTGGTGGTGGACCTCCGCCGCCACCACCGCCACCGATAAACGGTTTATTATTAGACGCCTCACAGCCAAAGGTGGCCACAATTAAGAGGCGATTGAATTCAAAATCAAAATATTGAAAATAGTAATTATTATTATTATTATTATAAAAAAATTAAACTTTTTTTTTAAATTTTAAGTAAACGCCTATCAAAATGAAACAGAAATCTACTTTTATATTGTTATATAATATTTATATATATATATATATATGAAGAAAAAAATATTTTAACTTTTTATTTTCAATGAATTTATTTTTTAATAATTTTTATGATTGATTAAGTATTTTTTTAATCCTAATTTTATCGGTTTTATATAATGAAAAAAAAATTTTTGTGTTATTATTTTAATTGTGTTTTTAATTATTATTATTATTTAATATAATATTATCATTGAATATATTTTTTTTATAAAAAAAAGTTACTTTATTTGAATATTAATTTTTTTTTTGACAACTTAATTCAATATTATTATTATTATTATATAAAATATTTCGCAATAATATTGATTATTATTATTATAATTATATAATTTTTGTTTAATATAAATTTTTGTTAAAATATGCCCATGGACAAATTGTAATACTGATACCTTTTTTTTTATTTTTAAAAAAAATTCCTAAAATCTATTTATACAAACATACAAAAAAAAATAATTAATTATTTTTTTATTGCAACAAAAAAAATGGTATAAAGGGGTATAAAGCTGTCATAATTTATTAATTAATTATTTTATTATTATTATATAATTTATGTTTTTTACATATATATATATATAATATATTATACACACATACATACATATATATATAACAAAAAAATTGTTATTTTTTTTATCTAATAATAATTAATTTTGTTATTATTATTAATAATATTATCGATTCATGTGTTATGCATATTGTCCTCATATCGGGTGTTCCTATAGTTTAATAATTTAATATAATTATTGTGTAATATTATTATTATAAATGTGTGCAAAAAAAACAACAAAACAAAAATCTATACCCCCTTTGCTGTTATATATATATAAAATATATATATATTATAAAATGTTGACTCATATGATACTAAACAAACAAACAAAACAAATTAATTATTATAACTAAAAAAATTTATATTGATATATATTTTCAAAAAATATTTTTTTTTAAAAATTTAAATAATAGCATGTTATCAAATTGATTTTTAATGGCAATTATATTATATATATATATATAAATATTTATATATAAAAAAAACAAAACACAAATTACTGCTGTATTTTGATAAACAAAACAAAAAATTGCATGAAATGTGCCAAAAAATGTGTGTTTTTTCTAACTAATTAATTAATATAAATATATATATATTTTTTTGAAAACAAAATAACTTATAATTTGACTAAAAAAATTTTTTGCATTCAATTATTATGTTTGTTTGTTTTATATGATATTATTATTCATACAATTAAAAAAATAAATAATTATTAAATTATAAAATAAATTGCTTATTAAATTTTTGAAACACCATATATAGTAATAGTATTGATTTTGTTTTAATATAATTATTGGGAGTAATTATTATTAAATTAAAAATTTTTCAACTAATAATAATAATAACAAACTAATTATATACCCCTTAAATGATAAATAATTACTAATAATAATAATAAATAGGCAAATAATTAGACACCGATAACCTTGATACAAATTATTAACACGTGAGTATTTTGTATGATGTTTACAAGTTATCAAGGTAATAATCATAAAATAATAATAATCTAAATAACTTGATAAATATAAAGTATATAGTTATTTAGATTATAATTTTTTTATGTGGGTGTGTGTATGTGTATGTGTATGTGTATGTGTATGTGTATGTGTATGTGTATGTGTATGTGTATGTGTATGTGTATGTGTATGTGTATGTGTATGTGTATGTGTATGTGTATGTGTATGTGTATGTGTATGTGTATGTGTATGTGTATGTGTATGTGTATGTGTATGTGTATGTGTATGTGTATGTGTTGTATTTGTAATTACACTATTGTATATGTGTGTGTATGTATATGTATATATGTGTGTGAATGTATGTGTGGTTAATACACACTGTATATGTATGTATGTGTGTGTGTAATACACACTGTATATGTATGTATGTATGTGTGTGTAATACACACTGTGTATGAATACATGTGTGTGTATATGTGTACGTAAGTATATATGTGTGTATGTGTATGTATATGTATATGTTTGTGTATATAGCTGTGTGTGTGTGTGTGTGTGTGTATGTAAATGCATGTTTATATGTATGTAGTGTTTAATTAACAGTGCATCTATTTTTTGAATTAAATTATAAGCCTATACCGGGGGTATAGGCCAACAAAAATTGCCGTTAAAGGCTCATTGTATTGTCCCCTCGCACGGTAATCTTTAGTAAAAGGCGAAAGATTATTACGTGTAATGTGAGGAGACCTGAGCTATGAAAACTACCAGTGCTTACCCATACCATATACCCACCCGTTTCAATGTTTCACTGATTACAGTCGTCAATCAACTATTTACTACACTAACTACATGTTATACCCGATTAATTGAAATCAATTCAACAACTAATTGTTAGTAATGAATATTTATTAATTAGATTTGTATATAATTTTCTAATAAATTATCATGGTAATTTAGTATTTAAAATTTAATTTAGTTATATATTATTACTATATACTAGTATATACTACTACTACTATTTGTGCTTGTTGCTATTACTTTAAAAATAACATTAGATGGCAGCGCTTTTAATAATATATTAGTAATTTGTTTTAATATGTTTTAACTATTTTAACAATTATATCTATATTTTAATTATTAATTAAATTATTTTTAAAATGTTTCATTTTATTAATTAATTAATTAATTATCAAATTAATAGTTAAGTGCGCAAAATATACAGAAATACATTTTTGTTTTTTAAATTTTATTTATAGTTATATATATATATATATATAAATTTATATAAATATAAGTTGTTTGGTGTGTGTGTGTGTGTGTTGACCTACCGATGCTTATTAAACAAACAAACAAAAAATTCATGTATTTTTTTACCGGTAAACTAACTAAACTTTCGTAATGTCATAATTAATAATAATTTTTTTTAAAAATATAATTAAAAAATCTAGAAATTAATAATAATGTGTGTTTTTTGTGGTTTAAATGATAAAATACAAAACAATAATAATAATAATAAATTGTTAATTAATGTTATTAAATTAAATTATTATTATAATTTAGTTTATATAAAAAAAAAATTTTTAAAACACACACAAAAAAATATATTATTATAAACTTAGAAAATAACAATCAATTGGTTACTAAATATTATTATTAATATTACTACTAATTACTAAATTAATTATTAAATCCAATCGATAAGTGTGTCAACACTACACACAAACAACTGGGGGTTTGTTTTTTAATAAAAAATTTGTTAACTAAAACATTAAAATTAATTAAATTTTTAATAATAATAATTAATTAATTAATTATTATTAGAAAAACTTTTTTTTTATATATATAATTATAATAATAATAATCAATTAAACAATTAGTTTAAAAAATAAGTTAGGATTTCTGTCAACTCTCTCTCTTCTCTATTGAAATTAAATGGTTGGATGAATCTCGTCGTTGCTGTCGACCTCCATCTGCGGTGAATCAGTACTACTGTTCGGCTGTTGTTGTTGTGGTGTCGCCGACGACTGTTGAGGAGGAGAAGGAGAAGCCGTCTGTTCCGTCGGCTTAGACGCCGCGGCCGGCGGCGGTGGTGTCTGTTTGGCGGCCGCAGCCTCTGCTTGTCGTTTCTTTTCTTCGTGTTTTCTGGTCCTCTCGTTCAGCAACTGTCTAACTGTTGCGTCAATCGAATTGATTTGCTGTTGAATCGTATCGCAAGTGATGGTCGGATTCGCTGTCGTCTTCATTGCATTGAATGCAGCGTACGATTCTTCAAACCATTTGTTTTTTGCATCAATTTCTGCTGATAGCCGAGCAATCGTTTCTTTTTCGTCGTCATCGGATGTTTCAATCAGTTTGCGCGACTGTTGCAAATGTCGGCCCAACTGTTCCATCAGCGACGGCCGGGTTTCGAACTCACGTTTTCGATTCAATATTCCCGTAGTAAACGCATCTTTCATTTTGTTGATCCGTTCTTCGTAGACACTCTTGCTGTGAACTTCGTCTTTGTCCTCCTGTTCGTATAGCCATTGTTCGGCCGCTTGCAGATCACTGGTAAACACTTGTTTGTCGCTGTCTTCGATAAACGGATCGTAACCTCCGGTTTCCATCTTATCTCTCCATTCGTAGATATATTCTTCCAATTCGTTTTTGGCGTCAGTCTTCTCCTTCCAGTTCTTGTCGGCCAAAATCAAATTCGATTCAATCTCTTTGAACAGTTGGACGTCGTTGTCGTTTAACTTTCCTCTGATCCATAGGGGTTCCACTTGCAGTTCAATGGCCATTGATTTTGGTTTTTTATTCTTTTTCTGATCGACTTCTTTCTGGTCGCCGCTATCCTTGTTGTTATTCTCTTTAGTATCGACGCCGGCGGCGGTATTATTATCTTCGGTGTCCATCGCCTGTTGTGAGGAAGCATTTTGTTGCTGTTTGTTGTTGTCATCATTGGTTTCCATGTCTTCGATTTCGTTACCATTTTTTTTGTCGCCAGCAGTTTGCTGTCCGTCGACAACAACCGAAACCGAATGTACGACAACTAAACCATTGGGATCGAGACGTATACGCAGTTTTAGTTGGCTTTTGTTTAGCTGAATCGTTTGCGTAGTGTATAGTTTAAATTCGCCGACGGGTACCGATTGGCCAGATTCGTTTACATAGTCAAACGCTACGATCATCGGCAACGAGTGGCAATTGATGGAAACTTGTTTCGTAAACGGAATGGGATGTCCGCGCGGAAACAACGATCGAACAACTTTGCATTCGGGTTCGTGGCCAGCGTCCGACTGATGCCAGTAGCGGATATCAATTTGGAATGGAGCAAAATCAATGATCTGCAACTGACGGGCCACTTTGAACGTCGGGCTAAGTATGGCGCACTGTAGGGCACAGCCGCGGGCCACGGCTTCGTCAGCGTTCAACGTTGTAGTCACTTCGACGCCGAAAATTGTTTTGGCCATTCGCTTGATGGCCGGTATACGGCTGGTACCGCCAACAATTTCGCAAACATCTACATGAAAGTCGCCCAGTTTGCCGCCGGTATCCGTATTGAACTTATCGTTTGCGGAATTCAATGCCCGAACAAACAGGTCGTTAATCTTTTGAAACAAATGCTGAGACATCTGTTCAAACAGTGTCCGATCCATACGTCCCGAAAAATCGGTTTCTTCGTACAAACATTCGACATTAATCGGTAGATCGTTGGAGTTGGCGCTCATTTGTTTCTTTAATTTTTCGCATTCGGCAATCAACCGAAATCGGCCTCTTTTGTTTAGTTTCAGCTTCTGTTCGGCTATGAAATGATTGGCCAGAATTTCGTCGAAATGTTTGCCACCGCAATTGATCTCGTATTCGACGGCCAATACTTTCATCTGATTTTCTTTGTGACAGTACATGACAATCGAGCACTGGGTTGAGGAGTGGCCACAGTCGACAAACGCAGCAATTGTCGAATCCTGAGCAGTGGGCGCTGTCCGATAGAAACCATAGTACAGAGCAATGGCCGTAGTATCGGGTATAATACGTATGGGATTTAAGCCGGCAATAAGGGCAGCGTCCATCAGCGATCGGCGCTGAGCATCGGTAAAATAATTGGGACAATTCAGTACACAATCGACTGCATTGCCCGATACTTGTTTCAATTTGGTCAACAACATGGCCAGAACCTGTACGGATGAAAATGTATGTTCTTCGCCATTATGCCAGATATGGACACTCAGTTGGCCATCGTTGCCGGTCTGTTCCAATTGATAGGGAAATTCGTCGGCAACTTCTTTCAGTTGTTTACCAATCAACCGATTCGGCGAATAACATGTATTACTTAAGTTCATCAGATGTTTCAGTTTAGCCGATACGCCCAATTCGCGTTGATTTTGGCCAAAACCCACATAAGCGGGTGTTGTCCGCTGGCTGTATTCGTTCAGTAATATTTCGATACCGCCGGCCCGGGCAACGGCAATGAAACAGTTTTCCGAACCGACATCAATGCCGCAAATGGCCGATATGGCCGCCGTTGGTGGACCAGTGGATACCATTCCGGATAGTTGTTTGATTAGTGAGAAGTCGGTGCCGAATAGGTCTTGTTCTGGACACAAGTGGTCAGAAGATATCAGTCGTCAATCGGATCCGCGATTTATAGATTAACAACAAAACGATATGATATGAGTGAACCAATTCAAGTGATATTTTTATTTTATTTTTTTTAAAAAAACCTTTCGATGAGTTTTTCGGTGATGTTGTTGTTGGTGTCGGTGTTGTCGATGATGTTTGACTTCTTTCAAATGGATTGACTCTCGAAAGAAACCAATTAACCGATCGGCGAATGCGGCGAATGGTGGAAGAAGTTTGTTAACCGTCGGGTTGTTATAACCACACAAATTGAAGATATATATCACTACTACTTGTTTTTGTTGATAACAATATTGTTGTCCAAACAATAAAACATGGGATCAGCTATTAGTCAAAGACTTTTTAGACAGAAATAGTCATTAAGTTTCTGTCGGTATATATCTCTCTCTCTCTCTCTCTCTCTATGTCTGTCTGTTTGTGAGAGTCTATCAGTCAATGCGTTCATACAATTCATTCAATGCTTTCAATTGAATACAAGAATTGTTGAGAAATTTCTCGAATATTGCCGTCAATTCATTACAAGCAGTAGTAGTAGTAGTAGTAGTAGTACTTCACTGCTGTACACAAATGTACACTACATCTACAGTACATTCTATGGTTGCCAGAAGTCCAAACATATCCCGGAAAATATATTTGTGTTGATATTTTTAAAAAAATAATTAATTGTTTTTTTTTAATTTTAAATTTTTAATAATAATAATAATAAATCTATAATTTAGCATTAAATTGCAAATGTTGTAATCATAAAAGTTCACTAATTGTTCTGTTTTTATATCTATATAATAATTAAATATATTTATACAATAGTTATAAATAAAAATTTTATCAAATAACTCAATATGTTTAAAATGTTTTTTTTTAAATGTTATGTTATTTGGAAATAAATTTTTTTTTTAAACTAGCATCTATATATATATTATTTTTTTAACTAATAGTTTAATTGTTTATTATAAATAATTTTCATTTTTGTGTACCATGTAAAAAATTGTTTTTTTAAAATCTTCTATTTAGAAATAAAAATTTTAAAAACTAGCATCTATATATATTATTATTTTAACTAATAGTTTAATTGTTTATTATAAATTAAATCTATTTTTTATTTGATTTTAGGTAGAGATATAATTATTTTTTTTACATACAGTAAATAACTATATATATATATATATAGTGCATATAAATGTGAAAGTTGGTCATCATATTGGAAAAAATATTGATACAGTAATACAGTACAGTATATTAGATGAATAACACACGCAATGATTGTATTATAAAAACAGTAGTACAATATTGAGCCGATCTATCTGTACATCAATAACGTCCATAACAATAGTGGGTGTGTGTTTAAAAATTGAGTTTCCCCTTAATATGTGTGTGTGTGTGTGTGTAATGCTATGAGTTTTTTTTATTAATAAAATTTTTCTAAAGCAACGTAATTGATGTTTTTAAAAAAAAATCAGTTTTAACAATGTACAATCATCGTATCATGTGATGCAATACTAGGCCAATGTGTATTAATATGTGTGTGTGTGGGGGCTAATATCGTATGGGGTGGGTGTGATGTATGTATGTGAGGGTGGGTGTTTTTTGTACTATGCATGTTTTTTGTTGTTGGCATAATTATTAAGTTTTTATTGTTTTTTTTAAATATTTTTTTTTCTATTAAAATTTTAAAAATATAATTGATTAATTTAATACATTACCATAAATTTAGATACACACACACACACACACACACACACACACACACACACACACACACACACACACACACACACACACACACACACACACACACACACACACACACACACACACACACATACATACATACACACATACATACATACATACATACATACATACATACACATATATATACATACATATATACATACATACATACATATACACATACATACCTGTACATACTGCAAGTATCATAATAATAATTATATGGTTATTCCTATGGGGGGTAATAATAATAATAATTAAAATAATTTTTTATCTACACATTTATTTAGGTTAATGTTAAGTCTAATGTATTACTAAAAAAAAAATTTATATATATAGATACTATTTATTATTAATTGATAAACAATATAATATAATGTAATATTTATTTGCAATGTCATTGTACAAATATATATTAATAAATATTTTTTAATAAAGTGTATCAATGATTATTTTTAATTTATTATTTTTATAAATATATATTAAATGTAGCAATAATTATTTATTTTAATATGAAATTTTATATATATATATATATTGAAATATAATATATTATAATATTTAATAAAACAATTTATTTTTATTTTTTAAATAATATATTTTTTAAAATATTAATGATGACATAGAAATTGTACAGTATATTGTATTTATAGGATTAAAATATTATATTTTTTTTTAAACAAAACCAATTAATATCAAATCAAATATTATTGATGGAAAAATAAACTTACTGGAAACTTTATACACATATTTTATTCAACAAAAAAAAAATAATTAAAAATTAAATTATTTTAACATAAAATTTATTTTTTGTTTGAAAAAATATGACATTATTTATGACATTATTGATGGCCAGACATGTGTATGGATTCAATGATATATGTATTAAGTGATTGTATTATAAAAAAATTAAAGTTTTTTTTAAATTTTAAAGTTAGCATAAAATTCAATCATTTTTACTATCGCTTCGATAATATACCGTATAATATAAAAAACCCGTTACCCGTATATTACCGGACACCCCATCATGAGTGCCGCAGCCGCCGCCGCCAATAATAGTCGGCAACGTGTGCTATCCATTTACCGACAAATGTTACGCCAGTCGGGCCAATTCGTATCGTACAACTATCGTACGTATTGTTTGAGGCGCGTCCGGCACGCGTTTCGCCAGAATCGCAACATCGATGACCAACAAACTGTTGACCAGCTATTAACCGATGCCGACAAACAGCTAGCCGTTATCAGACGTCAATCAATTATCAATAGATTGTACGAATCGGATAGATTGGTGGTCGAGGCCAACACCGGCGACCAGCCGACGGTTGCCGTCAAATAGTTGTAGTTATCAATCAATTAATCAAACAAATAGTTTATTATTATTTTTTTTTTAGTTTTTATTTTATTAAATAAATTATATGTAATTTTTTTCTCTAATGTAAAATAAAAACCAAAAAAATTGCATCAAAAATGTTATTTTAAATAAAAAATTGAAGACTTTTTTATAATAATATCTTATCTAAAGACACACGAAGTATAAGAGAAAGAAAGAGAGAGATATAAGAAATAACAAAAACGATTACCACTTCTGACTTAAACAACACAAATGACTAACTTATTAGACAATGTTTGTCGACTGTCTGTCTGATCAATCAATCGGTCGGTGTTTAAGCCATTTTAGTAATGTATTGGTTGGGAAACAAAAACATATGACTATAAGGAATGGTCGATATCGGCAATAGACCCGAATTGGTTATGACATTCATCGACAGCGTAAGACCAGCCGACGGTTGCCGTCAAATAGTTGTGGCTATAGTTATCAATCAATCAAACAAATAGTTTATTGTTTTTTTTATTAATAAATTATATGTAATTTTTTTCTAATGTAAAATACAAACCAAAAAAAATTGCATCAAAAATGTTATTTTAAATAAAAAAATTGAAGACTTTTTTTATAATAATAATAATAATATCTTATCTAAAGACACACGAAGTATAAGAGAAAGAAAGAGAGAGATATAAGAAATAACAAAAACGATTACCACTTCTGACTTAAACAACACAAATGACTGACTTATTAGACAATGTTTGTCGACTGTCTGTCTGGTCAATCAATCGGTCGGTGTTTAAGCCATTTTAGTAATGTATTGGTTGGGAAACAAAAACATATGACTATAAGGAATGGTCGATATCGGCAATAGACCCGAATTGGTTATGACATTCATCGACAGCGTAAGACCAGCCGACGGTTGCCGTCAAATAGTTGTGGTTATAGTTATCAATCAATCAAACAAATAGTTTATTGTTTTTTTTATTAATAAATTATATGTAATTTTTTTCTAATGTAAAATACAAACCAAAAAAAATGCATCAAAAATGTTATTTTAAATAAAAAATTGAAGACTTTTTTTATAATAATAATAATAATATCTTATCTAAAGACACGCGAAGTATAAGAGAAAGAGAGACAGATATAAGAGATAACAGAAAAACGATTACCACTTCTGACTTAAACAACAATACAAATGACTGACTTATTAGACAATCAATGTTTGTCTGTTGAATGTCTGGTCAACCAATCAATCGGTCGGTGTTTAAGCCATTTTAGTAATGTATTTGTTTGTGAAATAAAAACATATGACTATAAGGAATGGTCGATATCGGCAATAGACCCGAATTGGGTATCACATTCATCGACAGCATAAGACTACCCGACGGTTGCCGTCAAATAGTTGTAGTTATCAATCAATCAAACAAATAGTTTATTGTTTTTTTTTAGTTTTTATTTTATTAAATAAATTATATGTAATTTTTTTCTCTAATGTAAAATACAAACCAATTGGTTAACAAAAAAAAAATTGCATCAAAAATGTTATGTTAAATATAAAACTGAAGACTTTTTTTTTAATAATAATATCTTATCTAAAGACATGCGAAGTATAAGAGAAAGAAAGAGAGATATATAAGAGATAACAACAACAGAAAAACGATTACCACTTCTGACTTATAAACAACAATACAAATGACTGACTTATTAGACAATGTTTGTCGACTGTCTGTCTGGTCAATCAATCGGTCGGTGTTTAAGCCATTTTAGTAATGTATTCGTTGGGAAATGAAAACGTATGACTATAAGGAATGGTCGATATCGGCAATAGACCCGAATTTGGTATGACATTCATCGACAGCGTTAGGGTTACATTGTTGTTGCCTTTCAGACCGTTGCCATCGTCCCAGAAGTAGTACTTTGTGTGCTGATTCTTCAGCTGTACTTTGGTTGGTTCGCCTCTTTGAATGATATGATCCCATAGTACCACCTGATTCAGGACATTGTTACCCGTCTTGTAGTGTGCGGTCAAATACAGGAACAACTGTTTGGTATTCCAGTCGAATGCCGGCCCGAAATCGGCGTCCAAATTGAACGATATAAACCCGAGATCGTTGCGTTCGCGACCGGCAGAATAGTCGGCAACATTTTTGACCAATTTCTTGACCGTTGAGATGTCGATGTCGACCAATTGGTTGTAGTGTTTGAATGTTGTCGATAGGGCACAGATGATGGTCAACGAAGCCAATACTGACAACGTAAAGGCAAAGATGGCGTTCGTCCGCGAAAGTAATGTATTCATTGTTTGTGTTTTGATTGGTTGGTTAGTCAGCTGTCCACTGCCGTTGCCGTCGGGTATTGTAATTGATTGGTTGACCAATTGATTGACTGACTAACTATTAGTATACAAACCGATACTACAATGTATTGTATGATTAAAATACTGACGTGTTTTCCAATAGATTTCAATATTCAATATGTATTATATTAATAATAAAAAAAACTATTAGAATATAATCAAAACCAAAACAATACTATTGACGCACCACCACCACCACTACAGGCAGATAGATTTATCATATAGATTACACTTAATATATACATACAAATAAAACAGTGTGTATATAATAACTGTAATAAATATATTTACTAACTGTCATGTCTGCCTAATTGCTATAGCAACAATAAACAAGTATTATATACACCTATTATAAACTACTTGTTTAAGTACTTGTTTATTGTTGCTATAGCAATTAGGCAGACATGACAGTTTTAAATATAATTATTTTTTAGTTTTTTTTTCAACAAAGTCTATGCTTTGTAAAAAAAACTCGGCCCTCTCTTAACATTAAACACTAATATTGCGTGCATATACATAAACTACAGTATTAGTAGGCTGTCATTATTGTTTTGGTTTTGAATATAATTGAATGATTTTTTTATATTAATATTACAAATGTTAACATAAATAACGCCTAAAATAATTAATGTATGAAACAAAATATTTATTAAAAATGACAATGCTCATTTTTTTAATAATTTTTTGTTATTGCTAAAATTGTGATTGGTGCATCTAATTAAATAATAAAAATTAATTAATAATTGATTTTATAAATTGTTTTCATAGTATTAATTAAAAAAATAATAAATCATTCATTCATATATCATATATGTTTTTTTAACTTGTACATTTTATTTTTATTTAATTAAGTTTTAATAATATTTCAATCAAATAAAATTTGATTTATTATTTTTATTTATTTTTTTAAATAAAAAGTTAGTTTATATGTTTGTTAAATTGATAGGTTATTTATAAATTAAAAAAATTAATAGAAAATTAAATCAATATTAATAGTTATATATAGTATTATTAATGTTTAGTCTAAATATAATTGATTGAATTAAATAATACATAATTAACTTTTTATTTGAAAAAAATTATTAATTTAATTACAGCAATATTTTTTTTTAAAAATATTTTATTAGTATACAACCTAGTTGATTTTAGTTTTGGTTTATTATTTATTTATTTAGTAATTTTTTAAATAGTTTTATAAAAAGTATATCATATATTATATTTCCATATATATTATAAAATAAGTTTAATTTTTATCATATCTAAAAAAAAATTAAAATTAAAAAAAGTTTGATGATGAAATACAAATTAAATAACCGACAACAACAACAAAAATTGTTGCCAAAAATTAATTAATAAAAAAAAGTTTGCCTGATCAAATATCATATAATAATTATATAATCAAGATTTTTTTAAAAAAAAATCTAAAAAATCATACCATTTTTTTTTAGGTAATCTAATGTAATAATTACAGTATAGTTGATGTCCTTTAAAGATATTATTAATTTTGTTAAAAAAAAGTGATATAATATTTTTTTTTTAAATAGTAGTTTTTTACAGTAGTTTTTATTTATTTTTTTATTTATTTATTTTTTATATATAAAAAAAAATTAAAATCAATTGAATGACAGCTGACTGTTATAATATGTGCGATAATGCAGTGGTTTTTATTTTTTTTCTCTCAGTGTTGACCTCCAAAAAATGTAATGCAAAAGTGATTACAACATAAAAATTTATTATTTAATACAATAATACAGTAATTATTTTCATTATTAAATCAATTGGTCGTCAATAATGTCTACATAATATACAAACCCTTAAAAGTCTATTAATTAAAACTATAGACTAAAAACTAAAAGGGTTTTGAAATTTATTTAGACATTATTGATGTCCAAAACATATGACTTTAATATTATTAATACTATTTAGTATTATATTAATAGTAAATGTAATGTGAATTAAATACATATACAGAGAGAGAGAGAGAGAGAGAGAGAGAGAGAAATAAAAATTGCGATAAAAATAGTTTTTGTTTTTTTAATTGTTTTTATTGTCTCGTCTTCTGACTTCAGTATTTGCATCATCACCAGTGGATCAGCTCTCTTATAATAACAAGTAATACTTGCCTATTGATCTCGTGTGTGTGATATGGTCGCCACCAACAGCATTGTTGGCCACAGAGGAAGCCGCGATTCACGGGACGAAATGGACGATCTGCCCGATGAAGATGTAGCCAAAGATTTCTATGCAAAGTATGAGCCAAAGGAAGTGCTCGGAAGGTAAGAGAGAGACAGACAGAGAGAGAGAGAGAGAGGACATCCATCAGCAATGTCTTTGATATCAATGTCTTAAGAGAGAGAGAGAGAGAGAGAGAGAGATGTCTTACGAGAGAGAGAGAGAGAGAGAGAGAGAGAGAGAGATGTCTTAAGAGAGAGAGAGAGAGAGAGATGTCTTAAGAGAGAGAGAGAGAGAGAGAGAGATGTCTTAAGAGAGAGAGAGAGAGAGAGAGAGAGAGAGAGAGAGATGTCTTAAGAGAGAGAGAGAGATAGAGATGTCTTAAGAGAGAGAGAGAGATGTCTTAAGAGAGAGAGAGAGAGAGAGATGTCTTAAGAGAGAGAGAGAGAGAGATGTCTTAAGAGAGAGAGAGAGAGAGATGTCTTAAGAGAGAGAGAGAGAGAGAGAGAGAGAGAGAGATGTCTTTGATATCAATGTCTTAAGAGAGAGAGAGAGAGAGAGAGATGTCTTTGATATCAATGTCTTAAGAGAGAGAGAGAGAGAGAGCATCCATTCATCAATGTCTTAATACCTGTCCATTTCAGAGGTGTGTCCAGTACTGTCCGCAGATGTATCGAGAAGGAGACGGGTCGCGAGTTTGCCGCAAAGATTATCGACGTATCCGCCGATCTCGAGGACTCTCAGGGACTAACCCTTCGGGAGGCGTCGCTTCGCGAGATCAATATCTTGCGTTTGGTTGCCGGCCATCCGTATATCAGTGAGTTGTCCATCAATTTTGTTGTTTGTTTTTTTTCGGCTAATGTATCGTTTGTTTGTTTTTACCGATCAATTACCGATGGATCAGTTGAATTGCACGACGTGTTCGAGTCGAGTACTTATGTGTTTCTGGTATTTGAATTGTAAGGACAATATCTGTTGTTTACCGTTAAAAAAATTGGTAACAATTTTATTATTAAATCAATTACTTTAATGGATTTGTTTTTCTATCTATGGATCAGATGCAAGAATGGAGAGCTCTTTGATTATCTGACAAGTGTTGTGGCCTTATCTGAGAAGAAAACAAAGTTTGTTTGTATTTTTATATACAGTATATATTACCGATGTTTTTGTTTGTGACCAATTGGTGACCAATTTGTTTGTTTTGTTTTTTTTGGTGATAATCCACTTCTTCCAGAGCTATAATGAAACAACTGTTTGAAGGACTTCATTATATTCATTCATATAATGTTGTGCACCGGGATCTCAAAGTTTGTAACCATTATTATTATAGATTATTTATGGATTGATTATCACATATCACAATTGATCCCACAATTTATTTTACTTACAAATTAAAGCCGGAAAACATATTATTGGACAACAATTTGAATATAAAAATATCTGATTTCGGTTTCGCAAAGAATATATCGCCTAAAGAAAGACTTTATGGTATAAGTTATTGATTGATTGATTGATTGATAATAAAATCAATTTGTATTTTGAGTTTTTGTTTAAATATCTTTTGTTTTTAAACCCGATGTTTGGTGTGTTAGACCTGTGCGGAACACCCGGTTATTTAGCACCCGAACTGCTCAGAGCTTCTATGTATGAAAATTCTGATGGCTATGGAAAAGAGGTTGATCTCTGGGCGTGCGGTGTCATAATGTATACACTATTGGTCGGCTTTCCGCCGTTTTGGCACCGAAAACAGATGATAATGTTGCGGAATATTATGGAAGGAAAGTACGAATTCTGTAGTCCCGAATGGGACGACATTACCGATCAGCCCAAAGATCTGGTCAGTAGTGAAGAATATGTTATACGAAAAATGATTTTTTTTTTAATTGATAGATGTGTTGCTAAAACAACTAATATCTTTGATTTTTTTTAACCATTAAAGATCCGCAAACTATTAGTAATTGATCCAAACGAACGCATTACGGCCAGTGAGGCGCTTAGGCATCATTTTTTTCAAACAGTGGTATGTTTTTAACTAACCGTAAAAAATAGATGGTTATCCCCCCCCCCCTGAGTAATAACTAATCGATAATTTGTTTCAATTCAATCCTATCCAATCAAAAAAAATAATAGCGCGCCCGTGTCGGCGAATTCAATGCCCGCAAAACGTTTCAATTGGCAATAATGGCCGTACGGGCAATGATACGAATTACTAGACTGAAGTTAACACCGGAACCGTTGAGTATCGAAATATTGCGAACCAATCCGTACCGAATTAAAACCTTAAGAAAGGTAATTGTAATTTAACACCCCCTGAGTGGTGGGTGGGTGGGGGTATCAGTGTTTTTTTGTTGTTGTTGATTGTATTATATTATCGGTAATTGTGTTTTATTTGTTTCAGGCGATAGACGGTTGCGCTTTTCGGGTTTATCACCATTGGGTCAAACGTGGCGAAGTCCAGAATAGGGCCGCCCTTTTCGAGAACCGACCCAAAGTTGAGGTGAAATATTTATATCAACAATCAATTGTTAATATTACCACCACTTAGTGTAGTCATCATCAGTCACATACACACACACACACACACACACACACACACAGTACATACATACACACACCGACAATCATTATTAGGTTTTATTTAAAATTTTGTTTTTTTTTGTTTGTTTTTGTAAATCATTTGTAAATAATTACTGTATAAAAAAAATTGTGTTAAAATAGAGGTTATTTTAACTAAATAATTACCGTAATATATAAATTATAAAAACATTTAAAAGTCCAATATCTATGTAGAAAAATATTGACACGTTTAATGAAATAAACTAAATAAAATAACTTATTATTATTATTATTATTATATAATCAATAGTCATATAATTTTTAATTATATAAATAAATTAGAGAGAGAAATAAAATGTTGATAATAATAATAATTAGGTCTACGATATAATTGATTATTTATAAATTTTTTTTTACAATTATACAGTATTTATATATATGGTTTATAAAATGACATTGATGATATACATATGTGTTTGTGTATAACAAAATTGATTGATTGATGAAATTGAAATGTATATATGGGATCAATTGGATGTATTGACTGTATGTTGTTGTTGTTGTTGTTGATGTTGTTGAGTACCAATTAAAAATCTATGCTCTTCTATAAGGCAACCGACATAGTCTGGTGATCCAATTGTTCCTTAAATTCTGTATACAGTCTCTGCAGACGCAAATTGGTCGACAATATGGCTAAAACTTCTTTGAGTAGATCGTGTTTACCGTTGCCAACAATTTTCGGTTCCCATTGACTCCGGATGGACTTGAATATGGGTCCAATTAGATACTGGCACAGCTCCCGGAGCCTGTTTTCCATATTTTCTTTGGACAGATGCTGAGCTAAGGCCAACATCCAGAAACGATATTCTTTGGCCGAACCGATTACAAACGATGCGGCCAATTGTTGGTCAATATAACTCAAAACGGCCGACTGCTGTAGTGTCGAGTCACTCAAAAACAATGTATGCATCGATTTGTTGGTTCTGTGTGCGGGAAGAGACAAAAAAAAATGTGACCACAATTTTTTTTAAGGGGATAAATCATTGGATCAATTGGTGTGATTAACGGGACACTTACCTTGTTTGAGACTGTATGGTAGACAATGGCAGTGAACTGGGATCAAATGAATGCGGCTTCTGATCGGTACAAGTGTTGAGCACATCGTTACTATTGGCAATCAGTGTCCAACTGCCAAACTGTTCGTCGAAGACATACGATTTGCCCGAAGATAAACAAATCAATGGTGAATCACAATCGGTAATACCGGTGCTTAATATGGAAACATCGTGGGTATTGTTGAGCAACGGTGCCAGCGATTCGCCTTTGATTAGGACCCGGTGGCGACTAAAATCCCACATCCACAGTACGGCCTGTACGGTAATGGCCATAATCTTGCTGTTGTGACAGGTTAGCCGCGCGACGGGTGAACTCAGCATAATGGGTGCCTGTAGTCGCCGCCCGGTAGACGTACTGAACACCGATAGTGTACGATCATTGCAGGCGCAGGCAATCAGTTGATCGCTACCGGTAACGGCGATAATGTTGGCCGATACCAGTATCTGCCACTGGCGGTCACCGTTCGAGTTTAGCCGTAGAGCCGATATTTTCGACGAACTAATCGAATTTTCGATATCAATGGATATATTATTTTTTCGATCATATTTATCGCACGCACTGAACACTTTGACAGTCGCTGTTTTGTCCATTTTAAGTACTGGCAGATAGTGATGATCACTTGCAGCCGATGAATGAGCCCAACCACCACCACTACCGCCTACGCCGCCACCATCTTTGGCTAACTTGGAGGCGGCTGTCTGATGTTTAGCTACCATCGATGGATGTTTGTCTTTAACTTGTATGGGAATCGCTGGCTTATCGATTATCTTATTGATTGTTTGCCTTTCGGCTTCGTAAGTGTTTTTAGCCGTCAAATCATTCTTCGGACTGGTTGTTGTTGTGGTAATATCTTTGCTGCTGCTGCCGCTGCCGCCGCCGCCGCCGCCGCTACCGGGAATCGATGGTCGGCCACGTTTAGTCTTACTATTGTTGGACACATCGGTGGTCGCACTATGCTTTCGCTTTGGTGTAGGCAACGACTGTTGTTGATCGCCAGTGTCGGCATCAATAATCGTCGTCTTAATGTCCTTGACTTTACTAATACCGTTAGTATCATTGGTATCGGATTTATTATTATTATTATTGTTGTTGACCACTCTTATCGGTTCGGTATTCATATTCGGCAAAGATTTTGTTGATGTTGTCTGTTGTTGTGTTGGTGTTAGTGGTGTGCCGTTTGTGGTCGCGTTTTGCGACGACAACGGCTGTTGTTGTTGTTTAACAGGTGACGAACCAATCGACGATCGGCTATTGGATTCGTCGTGTTTTTCAATATAAATCTTTGTCTTCGGTTCGCTGGATGAACTAAAAGTAGTTGGCTGTACACAAAATGTCATACCATCGATGGGCGGAATATACAGTGGGGTTATACGGCGTCGGCCATCAGCCAATCGGACCTCTACTTGCTTATCGGTCGGTCCTTTGCTTAGTTTAGACGATTGCGAATTACTTAGCGACGGCTCATTGCCGGTGTTGTTGTTGGTCGCCATCCTATTCGACGACTCGTTCGACGATTGGCCACCGTTTTGATGATTAAATTTTTTCTTCTGTTCATGAATTACCATAATATCTGGATCTTCGATCAGCTGGTGTTGAGGCGAGGATGAACTCTTGGATACGCCGTATAGTTTTTGTTTGTACAATACTTTTTCGTCGCTGGTCATCGGACAACCGATTTCCTGTTCGGTAAATTCCATGTAGGCTACCGTTCCGTCCCACGAACAGGCCATCAACTGGAAGCCCGACTGTGACCACGATAAGTCGAGTACAGAATTATCAAACAAATCGTGCAAAACAAGTATCGGCCGCTTACGGGATGTCATCCATACGGACAGCGATCGGTCGCGACTGCCGATTGCTATACAACAAAGTTTATGCGATCGGTTAGCGTTGTGTTTATACGGCAAACACATAATATTTGAATTGAATCGGACACAGGCTATGGCCTTACGGTGGCCGACAAAGTCGCGACTGGCCGACCAGTTTTGGCGTTCGATAATCTGGGCGACCGAACCCAAGTTGTTCATGGCGTGTGCCGACACCAGAAACTGGCCATCAGGTGACCAATTCAGACGCAATACGTGAGTGGTTCCGCCGCACTCTTCAAACGGTTCCTCAATTACCGCCTCTTCGGTCCAGTCGCTGATACGCCAAATGCGCAGTGTTTTGTCATCGGATTGTGAGGCCAAGTATTTGCCGATCGGATCCCAAGTAATACCCTTAACCAGACCCGTATGTCCACGCAATACGACCGCTACTTCACTCCATTTATTAGCATTCCATACGATAACCGAATTATCCACCGAACACGAGGCCAACCAATTATCTGCCGGCGACCAACTCAAGTCCAATATATCGCCCGAATGTTGCCTGAGTGTCGACACTACCCGATATTGTTCAACATTACCGACAAAACCGTTGGTCTGCGGTGCGTAACGGGCACCGATTGTCCAAATGATAATCACTTTATCGTCGCCGGCAGTGGCCAGAAAGCGGCCACTCTGCGACCAGCGAACCGAATTGACACAGGCCAAATGGTTGTCCATTTGACACAATTGTTTGCAAACATTTTCATTGGATTCGGCCGATTCGTCCACAATGGCCAACATATTCCATATGACCACCCGTCCCGAATCGTCGCCTTGTCCACCCGTAGCCAGTCGGCTGCCATCCGGGTGTATGTCCAGCGAGAATATCGGTCGACCTTTAAAAACAAAAAAATTGTTACCAAAAATTTAGCGGACAATTGTTTTTTTTTGGTGGTCACAAACCGTTGTGATTAATCCAATTGGGTTTCAATAGTTTCATCGGGCGGTCGGTTCGGTTCTGGTGGTCACTCTCTGGTCACTAGTCGTCGTCGTTCGGTAACTCTTTGGCAATAACAATGACAATCAATCAAATGGTCAGCACATTATCATCATAGCGGCGGCGGGTATTAGACGCGGCTATCATTTAGTCGGGCTATCAATTAATCAATCAATCAATCAATTAAAACAATGTCTAACAACAGTGTATAGCATAGCATAGTATATCATAGCATAACATATATAATGTGTTAATAAATGTTATTGTTATTTAAAAATTTAAAAAAAAATAATAATGTAACATGGTACACTCTTTTATATTATATATTAATATGTACATTGTGTGTGTGTGTTTGTATATATTTATTGTATCATCGTGCATTTAACTTACAATAATTATACACTAGATGGCCCCTAATCATTTTTTTTTAATAATGTATTTTATTGTATTAATTTTTAGTAAAAATTACATTGATGAAAATAGTACTGTAATTATATAATTAATTAATTAATTATATACTATTTTCATGAATGTAATTTTTACTACTACAATAAAATACATTTTTTTTTTAAATTAAATAATTAATTAATTAAAAATGTTTAAAATTATTAATTTTAATGATTAATTTGTTTGTTTGTTTTTCTATATATATATAATTTAATTTACTTTTTAAAATCAAATTGTTTAGTAAAGTAAATTTTTTTATTTTATATTTAATTTAATATTTTTGTTTTATAATTTTTAGTAAATTTCCTAGATTATTTTTTTTGTTCTATTATATATTTTGTAGTTTTATAATCTATAAAATTGAAATTTATTATCAATTTCAATGCTATGTATTTAAAAAAAATGTTTTTAATTTACCGGTACTTGAAATTGTGTAAATTATTTTTACATTTTATTACTTTTATAGATTTTTATATAATTTAAAATGTACTGGTTTACATTATATATAGTCAACTAACTACTAGTATAGCTTATTATAGATTATATTTTTTTACATTTTTTTTAATAGGAAAATAAATTAATTAGTAATTTAAGTTAATTAATAAAAATAAAATTATATATATTTATACTGTTTTTTAACAATATTTAATGATTATTGTATAATAAAATACTAATAATAATAATAATAATAAATATTTAATAATTACAATATTTGTCTATATATTATATTACATTATTAATTACTATTATTATTATTATTGATTTATTTAAATAAATATTTATTACACTATTAATATAATATAAAGTTGTTTTATTTTTGTATAATAAGTTTTACTTAATTAAAGTTTTGCAAAAAAATATATATATAGTTATTATATAACTAAAATGCTCCCTGAAATTAAAAAATAATTAACTTGATAAATTAAATATTATTTTTTTAAATAAAAGATTAAAAACTAATACTAATGTTTTTTATTTAGATTAAATAATTAATCAAAAACTAATGGTTAGTTTGTATATCACCCGGTATTTAATTATATATATATATATATAATTAAATTATATATATAGTACATGTATATACTGTACTATTAAATTATTATTTTTACAAAAAAAAATTAACTTGCTAACATTTTAGTCATTATTTTAAGTTTATTTCTTTTTAAAAATTAATGATAATGTTTGCTCTAAATTATATATATATATATAATATTATATATATATAATAATAATAATGGTTAGTTAGTGTACGTCAATATTAACACAAAATTTATTACAGTATTATTATTATCATTATTGAGTGATTCTTGTATTATATACAGTACTATACTGTCTAATAGTAGAAAAATAAAAATCGATTTTATTTTTGTTTTAAAAATAATAAATTAATAATAAATGTTAATATCATTAACTATATATATATTATAGAGTACTATATTAATAATATATTGTAGGCATTATGTGTGTGTGTTGGGGGTGACCATAGACTTACTTATCAAATAATTTATATAAACACATAATATATATATTTCTATATATATTATATATACTGTATATATAAATATTTTTGAGCATTCATTGAATTTTATTCATTCAATACAGTATATCGTTGGTAATACTGTAAAAATATCTATCTATCTATATATATATATATATTCTGTACAATACGTTATATACATAGTGTGTGAGAGAGTGTGTGTACTTTACAAATATATTTTCTATATACTACTGATGTGTATAATATACACTGTATATATATATATATATATATATAATACCTGTGTATATACTGTACTGTTTATATATATTGGCAATTATATTGTCTCAACAAAATAAAAAACAAACAACTAAAATAAAACCGTCACAATTTATTTTATTGATTGATATCCACACACATAAATATTACACCACTATATTTATACTGTATATACCGTATATCATCACTATTACAAAAAATTATTATTATTATTATAAATTTATATATTATAAAAGTATATATAATATTATTATATTGTATTATCTTATTATTCCTCTAATTCTGTGATAATAATTATTATTAATAATTTTTGTGTTGAATTAGTTTTTTTTCAAGTAGTGATAATAATAATAATAGTGTAATAATAATAATAATGGTTATAATTGTTTGTTTGATTAAATAATTTTTTCAATATAGTATATAATTGATAACTTGATAATAGATGATAGTTATTATTATTTTTTAATAATTTTTTTTAAAAAAAATGTGTCGCCTAAATTAATTGATTGAAAATGTTATCAAAATGTTATTATTATTGTAAACAACCTCGATTATATTTATAAACAAATCAAATTAATTATTTTTTTTTAAATAAAAATAATAATTTTAGTTTTATCATTACCTAAAGTGTCAATCAAATTTTGTAGTTTTTAATTTTCAAGTTTGTTTGTTTGATGACATAACTAAACTAAAAAAAACTAAAAAGTAATGATACAATTAATTTGTCTAATATTATCGGCAGTCATAGCGTTTGTGATATTTAATCAATTAGTAGCCAACTTTATAAAACCAAAATGTTTACCATTAAATGGTTATAACAATTGGAAATATAGGAATATATTTAGTTCACTAATTCATTCAATAATTGTCGGATTTTCATCGCTTTATATGTAAGATTTTGGTTAAATAATAATAATAATAATAATTTATATCTATATTATTAGTACATTTAAATTAGAAAATTTAATTATATATGTTTTCAATTACTGGTATAATATAATTATTAAAAAAAACAATTTCATAATACCAGTAGATATGTTGTACAGTTTTACAGTATATGTTATTATTTTTTTTATAATTTATAAAACTATAATATAAAAGTATCGATAAATATTGATAATAAATTATATATGATATATATAATAATATATATAATAACCTAACAATAATATACCTAATAATTTTTAAATAACTTTTATTTTTATTTATTTTTTGTATTTATTTTTTGTATTCCCAATATATATATGTTATATCAGTCTATCACTGGACCAATCAATCATATGGCAAATGTCGGACAATAATAGTGAGACAACAACGGTATCGATGCCATTGATATGCATATCAATCGGCTATTTCATCTACGATCTGCTACTATCGTTAACCAATCTACAATATCCGGGTCGTATAGAAATCATTGTCCATCATCTGATCAGTCTATGGTGTCTTAATGTTTGTCTACTAGAAAAACGATTCATCAGCTACTCGTTGATAGCTATGACTGTGGAAATATCATCGGTATTCATACACATACGTGAAATGCTATTGTTAGCCAATGTTACCAATAATCAGACCGCCATCGTCTATAAGACCAACTCATTGATCACTGTTTGTAAGTATTATCAAAAAAAAATCAAATTATAGATATAACTATTTTTTCAACAAAAAAAAAATTACCGTACAATTGATTAATTACCCGATAAATTAATTTTGTTGTTATTGTCAGTCACGCTAATAGTATTCCGATTTACGCCATTAACCTGGATCAGCTATCAGCTATACAGGGAATGTCATCAAATCGAGATATCCTATCTGATAATGGCTGTCCTATTTGTGCTGACCATCTATTTGGTAACTGTTGTCGTATTTTATAGAGTAATTGCTGCCGATTTCAATGTCTGCCTATTGAAAACAATTTCAATTAATCTAATGATAGCCAATGTTGTCAACAAAGTTCACTATCAATATACGGAAAAATTAGGAAAATTATTTAAATGAATGTATTATATAATTATATAAAAAAAAATAAATATATTATTATTGTATTAATTAATTAATTAAATATAAATATATAAATAATTCCCTATATATATATATATTGTATTAATGACCAATTAATTAATTGATTAGTGTTTTAATTAATATTTTAATATTTATATATTTTTTTTGATTGCCATTTAAATATTGTATTATTATAGTCATGTTTTTGTTCAAAATATATATATATATAAATTCAAATGTAATATACAGTGTTTTCTCTCCAACAAAAAAATTGTTTTTCGATAATTGTTTTTAAATTTTTTTTTAAAAAATAATTTATTTTTTAAATTACCCGGTACTTAAAACTGTATGTTTGTGATTGTGTGAGTGATAAAAATCAATCAAATTAAATTGAATTGATTTTTTTTTAATTGATTGTCGAAAACAATTACCGTATTATAAAACACTGTATATATATATTACATATATATTTGTTATTATTGTATTTATTTTAATTATTATTATTATTATTAAGATATCTACTAATTTGATGAAAAAAATATATTATTACCGTAGCTTATAATATATTAGTTGAATTGTATTGTTTTTTTTTCAATAATAATACTAATAATAATAATAGTATATTTAATAATAACATTAATAATAATTTATAAAGTTATATACAATTTATTTCAATTAACAAAATAACTAATGTATTTAATAATATTAACAAATCTACAGGTAATAAATAGTTTTGATAAAACTATATAAATATATTTATATATAACAAAATACTAATTAATTTATTATATTATATAATTATAATTAATTATATAATATAATTAAAAAATAACAAATTATTATTATTATTATTATCATTAATCAGTAGACATATCAGTGGACATATCAGTTGGTTCACCATTTAAACGATTGTTGTCTTGACTTTTTAAAAAAAAAGATATCAAACAAACAAAAAAAATTTTAGATAAAAATCAATTCAATTAAAAAAACAGTTACCAATAATTGTAATTTGTTTGTCAATGGATCAAATCAATTGATCCACAACTACAACAACAACAATAACTATTTTTTTTTTTTTAAAAACACATACTTTTGTTTAGACTCTTTCTTTATTGTCACATACTGTTGGCCATTGTCTCGCCATTTGGTTTCCATTGATTTAATGTGTGTCACCGATAGCTGATACTGAATCAAATGCAACAAAAAGCCGCAAAAGATAATGATATTACATATCATAATAATATGGATATTCGGTAATCGGCTGTTTCGGCTGTAGTTGGCATATCTGGGTTGTTGTTGTTGTTGTCCGTATCGCTGGCCGTAATAATAGTGGCCAAACTGTCGCCTACGTAGATCATCGTAATAGCGATCAAAGTCGTCACTGCTAGTATAGTCGCCGCCGTATTGTTGGCCAGATTGTGCGCTCCGTCGTTGTTGTTGTTGATATCGTTGTTGTCTATAATATCTGTCCGCAGCATCGGTGCCGACATCGGCAGCACTGGCGGCGGCGACTCTACTACTCGTCCTGAGATAGTCGTCATATTCGCGTCGTTTCCGATCGTTGTTCAGACATTGGTAGGCATTGTTGATACTCTTGAGTCTGTCTTCACCGTCGCTGTTGTTGTCGCCGCCACCGTCGACATCGCTGCCGCCGATTTGGCCGCGATTCAGATCCGGATGATATCGTCTACATAATGACAGATAAGCCCGACGTATGGTCTTCTTGTCGCTGTTACGGTCGACGCCTAATAACTCGTAATAATTATTATTATTATCATTAGTTGTGGCAAATCTGAAGATACAATTGATATGTGATTTGATTTTTAAGACATGATTTGATTTTTTCAATGATTATTACTTACAATTGATTTGTGGCAAACAATTGGCGACATTGAAGATGAAGACATCCTCCTCCTCCTCCTCCTCTGCGGATCAGTTGATGATAATTGTTTGCCGAAGAAAACAGTTGTCTTTTATCTAATATTATTAATAAATTCATTGAAAACTTTTTTTTTTGTTAATTTATTTTTTAGTTATAAAAACTAATGCAGTATTGTTTGGACACTCTATTTGTTTGGTCACTAATATTAGGTGACTGACTGTTAGTATTATACGTGCGTCCAATAGAGTGACCATTGATTATCTATGCGATCATAACTGTAATTATATTATTTAATTTTTTAAATTATTATTATTATATTATCATTATATATGATTGATATATAAATAGACATTATTTTTATATATCATATGTTTTTTGATGTTTAGATTTGTTTTGTTATGTTATTTAAAAAATAATAAAAATAAAAACATATGACACATGTGTGCGACCTCTCTATTCAATGCAATTAACAATTTTTTTTTATTTAAATATATATTTTTAGTTATTTTATTTTAATTCTAAAAAAATATAATATTTTAATAGTTTTTTTTTAAATAAAAATTGATATACGAATAAAATAAATAATATTTGAAATATAATACAGTAATACAATATTATATCATATTTTAGAAATTTTATTATAATTCAAATACTTGAGAGAATAGTAAACTAAATATTAATTTAATACAAAATAATAGAAATTAGTTTTTAGAAATTTTTAAAAGTAAATATAATTTATTTTTATTTAATACAATAGTATACAAGTTATAATATTCTTTTAATCAAAAAAAATTATTGATTATTATATTATTTAATATATAATAAAATTATTTTTAAAAATATTATTTATTCAAATTATTTAATATACTATTTTGAAATAATGTTATCTTATATTTATATTTTAAATCTTTTAAACAAATAATTATTTCTATATAGAATTTACATAAAAATATCTAAATCTATATATATTTTTTAAAAATATAATTATTTTTTTAATAATCTAATATTTTTTTTATTTTGTATTAATAATAATAATAATAATAAAAAAACATTTTATCGATTATTTATGATTGCATCGGCAATCCATTGGACAACACGTGACACGCGCACAAATGCCATTAGTTGACCATTTTTTGCCGAACCCGTACACGACACGTCCCCACCTTTAAATATACCGATAAGTACCGCCCGATTGCCGACAAACTGTATCAATGGTCCGCCAGAATCACCCTATAATATGATATATAGATATTATTGTATAATAATTAATATAATAATTGATAATATTTTTTTCGGAAAACTATTAATAGATTTAATTATTTTTGTTGCTGTTTTGTTACATATACAGTAATAGATATATTATTATAATTAACTAAAAAATGTTTTTTTTTAAAATTATAATTATAATTTTAAATACTTTATACTGTATATACAGTATATATATATATATATGATATATATATATGATATAAACAAAAATCACAATCATATATAAAGTTTAGACAATAATAGGTTATAGCAAAATTATTTTTTAATATATATATATATATTACATACCAGGGTTAAGTAAGGGGGGGGGGGGGGGGGGGGTAAGGCCAAAATACCCCCCCCTAAGATCGAGAAATTGGGATTTTACCCCCCCAGACTTTTTGACCAAATTGAAAAAATTGTCGCTTAAAAACGAGGAGAAATGACCCCCCCCTAAAATTTCGGCGCCGAAGGCGCCGAAAATTTTTTTGAAATTTATAAAAATTTTAATTTTAGTTGATACTATTTTAGTAAGTGTTTTTATGTTTTTAATATTTATAAAAATCTAATTATTGATTAAAAATAGTTAAAATAACGTTAAAAGTCATCAAAAAATAACATTATTTTAATTAAAATAAACTAAAAAATTAAAAATTACCTATTTGTTGAAAAGAGTAATCATATTACAATTTAAATATAAGTTTAAGAAGTTAATAAAACAATAAATACTTATGTTTTTATTAATAATTTTTAAATTTTAAATAAAAAATTTAAAAATATTTTCAATTTTGTACTTAATATAATTAAACTTTAACGAAATTTGAGTTAAATAAGTAGTATTCAGTCAGTATTTGTATAAAAATAAAAATATATAACAAACTATAAACATTAAGTATTGTTTAAAAAATTAATTATGTTAAAAGTTAAAAATTATTAAAATACTAAAAATAACTCATAGTGTATCATTAATGCTTTTATCAACTATTTTTAAATCTTAAATACATTATTTTATTTTTTTTGTTAAAATTTAAGTTTTTATTAATTTTAAAAAATTTTTTTAAAAAATATTTATTTTTTGTTAAAATTTAAATTTTTGTTAATTTTTAAGTTTTTTAAGTTTTTTTTTATATTTTTGGAAATTTTACCTATTTTCCCGGGAATTTATACGGGAACTTGTGGGAATTTTATTGAATTTACATGGGAATATTCGGGAACTTAAGGAATTTTTAGGGAATTTTCTCTAGACCCCCCCCTTGATTTTGGATTTTTGAAAAAATTGCCGTTTAAAAATGCAATAAAAATCTTACCCCACCCAATACCCCCCCCCCCCCCCCCCCCCAAGATTTTTTGAGAATTTTGTAAATTTTACCCCGGTCTACCCCCCCCTAAAATCCAAAACCTTGCTTAACCCTGATTACATACATATATATTGTAAAATACAACAAAAAATAATAATATCAATATTATTAAAATAATTAAAATATATATAAATTTATATATTATTTTTTATGTATTTTATTATTATTATTATTATTATTATTACTTACCGAACAGCTAGCGGTTCCCACTTGAGATGGATATCTGATTACACGAATCATATACGACTGTCTGGGACTACTGTATGTTGGTTTCAATAGTTTCAACCAACCCATCCTAAGTTGACCAGTATTTTCCACGTCTACATCTAACTTACCGAAACCGGCAAACAATGCCAACTCATCGGCCGTATTCATGATATCCGGTTCGGGTAAACAAATACTGTTTATTATCTGTTGCCGAAACCATGAATCGGGTGTCGGTGTCCATGTCGTTGGTATCGGTATTTGTGATTTCAGTCTAACTAATGCTATATCGTATGCTTTTTTATATTTATTACTATACGTCCAATTGGGATGAGTTAACCACTTGTCCACACCGTATGTATGGCCAGCGGGTTGTCTCAGATCCTGAACTGTACGTACAGTATATGTTTTATCGGGGCTTAAAAAACATATGTATTAACAAACAAACAAAAAAAAAGTCAAAATATTATTATTATTCAATATATATAATTCAAAAAAACTAAATATATATATATATATAGATAACATTATAACAAACAAACAAAAAATCATATAATTTCTAGTTTTATTATTATTATTATTATTATTAGACTATAGAGTATTTACCGATATATTTATTAGAAATTAGTATTTATTATTTAAAATTATATTTAATAGTAGATAAAAAAAAATATTTTTTTCAAATTAATTACTACAAACAATGTCCGGCTGTTATAATCCAATTGGCGTTCAATATAACTCCAGTACAGGTATTACTATTGAATAATAAAAATTAAAAAATACAAATATTTAATTAATGTTTTAATTATATATATATATAATATACTAAATATAGTTTAGTGAATAATAGAAATATTTTCAATTATTTCTATTTTATATATATATATATTTAATTATAAATACCGATCGGTTTTCCAAAATCCCCAAAAATATTTATATCCCTCAATAAATACAATCCATGGGAACTCTCCCGGAAGGGCTAACCGTCCGTTTTGGACACTACTTGTAGTCTCATTGGTTAACCATTTGAAACATTGTCGGCCAGTAATAGTCGTCGTCGACAACAACAGTGATGACTGTCTGCCGATACCACACGTGTCGAGCGTTACGTTCGGGTATTGTTTGATACGTGAGTGCAAACCATTCACTAATACTATTAACACTAGATTTTTATAGATATTTTCATTAATAATAAATATAATAATAATTTTAAATTTAAATACTTAATAAATAATTTATTTGTTGAATAAAATACATCAATATTTTATTTTAAAATACATAATTAACATAAAAACTATATAAAAATTAATGATTTTTAATTTATAATATTTATATATAAAGTAAATTTTATTTTAAAACTAATATAATAGTTTTTTAAATTAGCATAACTGTGTATTAAAAAATAATATTTGTAATATAATACAGTAATACAATATAAATATTATATCATATAATAGTTAATGAATTTATATATATAAACTTTCAAACAAATATTTATTTTTATTTACAATAATTTCTAAATCTATAGATATTTAAAAATATATATATAATTATATAATTATTTTTTTTAAATCTAATATTTTGTTTTGTAATAATAATATTAATAACATTTTTTATCGATTACTATTAACTATTAATTATTTTTTATTTAAATACTATATACCGTATGTATATATATATAAACTTTTAAACAAATATTTATTTCTATTTAGAAGTTTTACAATAATTTCTAAATCTATAGATATTTAAAAAAATATATATAATTATATAATTATTTTTTTTAAATCTAATATTTTGTTTTGTAATAATAATATTAATAACATTTTTTATCGATTACTATTAACTATTAATTATTTTTTATTTAAATACTATATACCGTATGTATATATATATAAACTTTTAAACAAATATTTATTTCTATTTAGAAGTTTTACAATAATTTCTAAATCTATAGATATTTAAAAAAAAATTATAATTATATAATAATTTTTTTTTAGAATATTTTGTTTTGTAATAATAATAATAATTTTAATAACTTTTTTATTGATTACTATTAACCGTATCGCTAATCCATTGGACAACACGTGACACGCGCAGGAATGACATTAGTTTATCAGATACTGGTCCCTTACAGGGAACGTTACCACCTCTAAGTGTACCGATAAGTACGGCCCGATTGCCGACAAACTGTATCAATGGACCGCCAGAATCACCCTATAATATGATATATACTGTATATATAGATATTACTGTATAATAATTAATAATATGATATTTTGAAAACTATTAATAAATTTAATT